AACCGAACCGGAGCAAAACATAAGGTGTGATTAGTTTTTCCAATAAAGTCCATAAATTGGTTGTAATACACATCAAGCTGGATAATGATGGAAAACTGGTTATTTCGGGCAATATAATTTCTGGATAACTTGAATGGACACCGTTATCCCTAAACTTCGTCAAACCTGTGAAATAATTAACGTCATTTCACCGCAACGACGATAGTTATAGCCAGAACGCAAAGCACTTCAAATGTTCAGACCGCGAAGCAGTCGCGTTGAACCTGGGCTGTTCTTTCAAATCGGGTGGTCCATGTAAATATGTTTTGATTGTCTTCAAGTTCAACACACCCTTGGAGCAGTAGTCGGCCGGATTATCAACAGTTTTCACTTGCCGCCACTGACACTTTTCAGTTTCTTCGTGAATGACGGCTCGCTGGTTGGCAACAAGTGTGCTAAAGCGCGTCCGAACGTTGTTAACGTAGAGAAGGGCTATAGCCGAATCGGTCNNNNCATTCAATCGAGTGGAAACACCTTTTCAACATCTTCGCCAACTTCGCGGCTAAAACCTCTGCAGGCTGTTCTAGCCGGTGTATTGAGACTGCTTTTGGGGAAGCAACTCTGGCCTTCGCGAATACTAAACTGCTATGTCTCCTTCCGCCCGGTCGAGAAGAGTAGCTCTAGGCCGCTACCCCGTATCCAACCTCCGACGCGTCCGCGAAATCGTGTAACTCGCTTTCCTCCCCTCGGCGTATTCCTGGTATGAGACGAGAGAGCCGTATATCATCCACATCGGAAAGGCTCATCCACCAGCCTTGCCAGGTTTGGTGATATACTTTGCATAAGGCTTCATTCCAAGTTACCTTTTTCTACACAGGTCCTGCTGCAGAAACTTTCCCAAAAATAGCCATGGTACGACAAACCCCATCGGGCCGTAAAGGCTGGCCAACGACGACAGAATCCAACTGTGAGTCGCCATCTTCTCAGGTAGCTTGAGTTGGAACAAAAACTCATCATTCTCCGAGTTCCATTGCACACCAAGTGCCTTGTCTGCTTGTAACGGGCTTTCCTGTAAGTCACGGAGACACGGTGACCGTTCCTCAACCGGGATGCAATCGATTGCTTGATGACTGTTAGACATCCACCTAGTTAACTTGAACCCTCTCATGAGCAATTGCTTAGATCATCTGCTATTGTGTTGAACTGCTCCTTCTATACAATCAGAGGAACCCAAGAAATCGTCTACGTAAAACTAATGCTTGACATAGGAATCAACGGCGAGATCAAAACACTTAGCAAATTGAGTTAGCGTTATATTGATCGATCTGTGAAAATCCTTCCTGTAAAGCCCAGTCATTCCATCTCGGTTCCACATTTCGCGAATTTTACGTTCCATTCACCAAACCTCATCCGCCTCACATACATATAGACATTTGACGTTCAAACTCTGCTTGTTTATTTACACATCAATCCTACCATTTGACTTTGTTTGTTTATCTGCTTCAATTTTTACCCTTCTTGTTAAAATCGCGACTTGAGCGCTCACATTTGGCTCGTTCGTGTGCAGCGTGACGGTGAGCGTGCTATTCTTACCCAGGCTCATTTCTTCTATTCAGATTTGTTGAATTACGCTCACAGTAACACTTGGCTCTTGTTTTCAAGTTGTTTCGAGATCACTTTGAGGTTTGTACAGTTTTTATTTGCTTATTCGATCGTTTAATAATGCAGTACCGTAGAACATTGCCGGATCATTCGTTTTATTGACGTTTTGGGATCCAATTTCGGCTACGAGTCGCTCGTTGATCTATTTGGGAGTTACAACCGTTAATTTAAAAGCGAAGTTTACTTAATAAAGGAGGATATCGTGTCGAACGGGTGCACTGTCATCCGATACTCCTAGGCAAGTCCATTTGGGTCTTCTTCCGGCCACCACCGCAACTGTAAAGCGTCCCTTTGCCCTTCGGGGACTTTAACCTGCATGAACATTTCAGCCGCTACCGCAATTGACCCTAGACAAAATCGGCACAGCACCTCAATCAGCGGGGTTGTCAGGTCTGGGCCTTGTATTACTTAGTCTTCTAGGGCAACCCCGGTACATATGGCAGCACAATCAAACCCAACCCTGGTCCTCTGAGGTTTCTTAGGGTTCATAACTGGGTAGTGCGGAAGGTACCATGGTGGTTCTTCATTATCAGCTTCTCTAACAATGTGTCTCATATAGCCCAACTCCAAATTTCGTTTCATGGCATTATAGTACGCTTCCTGCAACTCTGTATCTCTTCTCAATAGTTCTTTCAGATAGCTGAGCCTATGGAGGGCTACCTCTCTATTATCGGGCAGTCGATGTGATCCGGTTTGCCAGGGTAACGGTACTTCGAACTGGATTCCATTGTGTCGGGTTCTTTCGGTGACGATGGCCAGGGCTGCACAGCCTTCCCTTGATATAGATACTCGATCATCTGCCATGTCCTCAAACTCGTGGTTATGTAGCCGTTCCAGGTCGTCTTCTATAGGGTTATTTGGCCGTGAGTCATAGTTCATTGTGCCTTCGTAGTTACCATCCTCAACGAGTAGTCCACAGAGAATCCAACCAAATGTCGTGCGCACGGCGTATGGCTTCCTACGGCCTCCTATCCGTTAATCCATAACCCGATGGGCCTCGGGTATGTCACAGTCAATTAATATGTCTACTCGGGTGTCCGGCACACCTTCAAACGGCGGCTCGTGAAGATGAGGCCAGCGCTGCGCCAACGAACTCATGCCTTCAGAAGCCCTCATTAGTAAGTTTGCTATGGTAAATGCCTTGGGGATCTCACGGGTTTCTTCACTAGATGTAGAATCCAACTTGAGACTCAGCTGGGAAGCTTGAACTATGTGCGCCCCATCAACCGTGCTAATTACGAGTGAGGTGTTTTGTACTCCTAATTCATGTTCACGCGCAAAGCTCTCCCTCACAAGTGTGGTATCCTATCCATTATCCAGAAATGCCACGGCTTGGACCAAACCACCCGGAGTCTCTAATTGGATGAGTGCTATTCCCAAGCTTATACCCCCGGTGTCCTTGTGATTTATATCGACCCGACCATTATTTACTCCTTCCAACCTTTCATCGTTGTGCACTAACGGGTGAAGTCGAACGTTGCAGTTATCTTGACAATATTTGTTTCTATTTGGGTATAAAGCTGCTCGGTGGGTGTCGCTCAAGCACACGAAGCAGGACTCTGTCTTCTTAGCTGCTGCCCAACGGTCCGTCACCATTGCCGAACCTTCTGTACAGGCTAGCAGCTTGTGAAAACCCGAGTACAGCTTGCACTTATTCAGCTTGTTTGGTTCGTATGAAATTAGTTTGGTGTTCGCCCAATTAAGTGGAGGGTGGGGACCCTGGGATCCAGATGGGGAGAAGGTTGTTGATGGTCTAGCCATCATGATGCTTTCTCTCTCCATTTGACCGAATCTGCTGTTTGCTATTCGAGACTGGCTGCTTATGAATTCATTGAGTTCCTCAAGAGTCGCTTCCCTGTTCCTTTTCTCAATGCTACCGGCTTCGGTCGCCCAGGCTCTCTGCAATTCGGCAGGCAAACATCTGACTATTGATTCCAGCGTATGTAGTGCGTCTAAGTCCAAGCGATACTCGAGATAATTGAGGGCAGTGCTGCAGTTCTGAATCTTGATGACAAAGTTAGACAGAAACCTGGTGTCGCCTCTTGTGCTACTTGCTTCTACCAGTACTCCGTCAATCATGTTTTGTACCACTCGGAATGCTTGATCAAACATCTTCAGTGTGTTTCTTGTCCTTGGGTAGCCTACTTCCGGGTCGGGCTTGCACACCCTTGTGTGGCTTCTTTGACCTTCCCACGCCAGTAGTGCAACGAGAATAGAAACCTTTGCCCTGCATCGGTAGTTTTGCATTCGACAAAGTTTTCATATTGGCAGTATTGCTCGGGATTGCTATCGAATGGTGTCAGGTCGAAATCAGCGTTCATGTGGGCGTACGTTAGTTATTTCGTGACAGATTATTCATCCAAAGAGCGCTACCATGAACAATCTCAGCTCGATGTGTCGTTACGCTGTGATAATCGGTCTTTTCAAGCTTTACTTGTTCTATATGCTATCTATCTAATCTCAACTTATGTTCTAGTTCAGAAACATGCATTCTAAACGTATCAATATCATTAATATCTGAATCGACACATGAAACAGCGCTGAGAGAAGTAACTCACCCAACATTTTCTAAAGAATGTAAATGATCCACAGCCCCTCCCAGAGACTTACCGGGTTAATTCCCGTTTGGTTCCAATTTCCTTGTTTCCTCGTTTGGGCATCTGCGAAAAATTTCTCTCGTTTGATTACAATTTGAGTATAGTACGTCAACCAAATCGCAACTGAGTGACGCGTAGCAAAAATGGATACGAATCCCAAAGCAGTAGTGTTCTACGGTAATGAATTAGGAAAATCATTGAAAATGTACAAGAAAGCAAACCTCAAATATGCGGCCAGAAGCATTCAAGCATTTGAGAAAAGAATAAGACGTCCAACAGGTCGATCACGCTTTCTATTCACGCCAAATTGAAATGTAGCGCGAATCCAGTCAACAAATAAACAATTATGTGTTGATGTTTGTGAGTGAGGCGTGAGGCGCGCGTTCGAAAACGATGTGGATATCAGTTTAGCTCGTCTTTAGTCGTTTTATTGCAATCGTTTAGGTTTATTGTATTGCCTTTGTCATACCTCCTATTAAGTTTCTCGTCCATTATTATAGTTATAGAATTGTACTATTTTGGTTATTTATAAATAAATTTTAAATCTGCTATTAATACCGTAACCAGCACCTGACCTACCCCTGACACTTGGATTGCGTTACACCACAAGTGGTGCATAACAAGTTCCTATTCCTTCTTTTAGTAAATACCATCCAACTAACTATGACATGCCCCATCCCTCTGTACACACTATTCAGACTGGGTCTGTTACTTCTTCCCCTGTTGCTTACTGACGTGCAAAATGAAAAAACATAAATATACACTCCGAACCCCCTACCAAAAATGACCCTGCTTCCCTACTTTTTTCATCCCTCTTCCATCACTCCCATTGTGTCTAAGGGCCCTGTTTACTGCCCCAGCGTTTCATCTGAATTAACTCCAGCCCCTCAGTTGACCTACCCCTCTCTTTATACATTAAGCTCAGTGCGCTTCAGTTTCAAACTTCCTCAAACAATGACACAAATCTCTACCCAAATACAACTGCTCCTACCCTATGAACGTTCGGCAACCAACCTTCAATTGATAGCAATTGCAAAATGATTTTTCTTCTTCTGAATAGTCGCTCTATCATGAATAAGTTTCATTCTCTACAGTATATTGTTATTGCCGTTACGGCGGCTGAAGCACATTTTATGATAAAAACAACATTTTGATGACTCAGATAAGTTTTTTGGAGTGGCATTCTCTCTCCTTTCTTTTAATCTGGCCTTCCTTTACCTGTACTATGTATTAGTATTCCTGTAAAACACAACGGTTTTCATTGTCGTTTTGTTCCTCTCGGTTGAGCAATGACACTCCACTTGTTCGCTTACCATTTTACAGTCCGCCTAATGAGAATCACGGTCAAGTACGTATACGAAATTTATCGTATCATTATACACTTTCAGATACCATTATTATACGTGATTCCACTATTGATCAGTGTTGGTTGTGTTCTTTTATTGTTGGACGTTCCGGTTAATCTTAGGGTTTGCGATAAAGAGAAGTACAAATTTTGGGATCACGAAGTTGTTCCGTTGAACGGTATGCGCGTAAGACAGCTCCAAAAGTGAGGCTGTAACAACTGCTTCTAGCCCGTAAATGATATTCGTTATCGAATCTTGTCTCCTAAAATCCACTTCATCTGAAAAAATATCGCTTTCGGATTATCACTTATTCAGGAAAAGCAGAAGTCGCCGAGGTGGTGGCTGCTTATTATACACCAAACATGACTTCCGCGCAACCCCTAATGATCAGCCGTTACTAAACTCTATTGAGGATTCAATTTGGTTAACATCGCAACTACCGAGCCCTTTCCTTCAAATATGATACCTATACATACCTCCCGGTACTTCTACATCAGACTTTTTGCCCATTATTGACGCTTTCAACTACCTAGCTCCATTGCTCAGGTGTGCTAAACTAATCGCTGGTGACTACAATGCACCTAATATTGACTGAAACACCCTCAGCTCTCCTTCTCACCTTACTAATCTTATCTCATGTATTCGCACAGGTTACTGGACTCAGTACGTCACATCCCCTACCAGGAAAAATAACACACTTGATTTGGTTTTCACTCTAAATCTATCAAATGTCGATACTTGTACACTTGGTTACTTCCATGGTAGCAATCATAGAATGTTTTTATGTAAATTCTTTGCTCCCGCCAACCATAAGGAACACTCTCCTCCTAATCCTGTCCAACCTTACTTTTCTTGGGATCTCTTTCCGGCTCTCCTACGCGCTAGTGACTGGGATGAATTTTTCCTAACTTCTGACCCTCAGCAAGCGGTAAACATATGTATACTTCACGAAGCCCGTGGAGCATGCACAAGGCATGATCATATTATACTGCATTTTTATACATAACTTGACAGTCATCACCTCCAACCGTACTCATCCCATGTATAACCGACCTGACCATATAACTCGCTTGCAGAATAAATATGCAAAAGCTCAATCCTCTTACTCAAAATCCCATAAATTTTCCCTTTTTATTTCGATACATAAAATATCTGATAAAATCCGCCAACCTACTACCAAATTACATAAAAAACAATAAACTACTGTTTTATCTAAACCAAATGAACATGCATTTATGTCACATTTATTACGATCCCGTAATGCGCACTCCCATCCCAGTATAAATTACTTAAAATTGCAAGATAACGCAGTTGCTAATTCACCTGACCTTGAACGTCACCGCGCGGTTCAAAATTTTGTCGTGGGGAGTACTCAGATTGAATAAGTCGCAAAAGCCAACGAAGGAGTCGAAAATTCCGGGATTTAGGAACTATTAAAAACATTTTAGAAGCTTGGCAAAAGAAAACGGTCCAGGTGAGTCCATATTGTACTGTGTATCTTGGCGGGACATAATTGATCTAAAGCGTAATACCAGCGGTTTTCTACTCCCATCGTAAGGAAACTTGTATCTCCTTGCAAGGGCTTTTTATGAAAAGCGTCCGTAAATTACTCTGGATATTCTACCTGCTCACTTTTTGATCTCTTTTATAAACTCCAACCTCTTCTCTATGACTGATATGGGGCTTAACCATATTGGCATCGGCACCAGCACATGGTCCTCCAGGGGGAAATGCAAGACCGACACGGGAACCCCGGAGAATCTGTGAGGAAAGGAAAGCTGCGCCGCACAGGTTTTTGACCAAGGCATAAGCTGTGACACCTGCAGCACCTGGTATCACCCGAAATGCAGTGAGCTAACGAGCGGCAGCTTCCAACTTTACGGGCAACACAAACGCCTGAAGTGGGTGTGCCCAGCCCGCATAACTATCCTGAAGG